GTTTTTTTTTTTCTTCATGCATTTTACACCTTTATAGCCTTTGAGAATAAATAAGCTCCATTTTGCTTCCACATCTCTAAAAACTGCAGCATTTTAACTATTGTCATTTAAATCGTGCAATTTTTTTTTGCAACACCCCTTTTTAAAAAATGGAAAATATATATATATATTTTAAAACTAAACCCTATACAACGCAAAAAAATTCCAAATTAAAAAAAAAAATTATACACAATTGTAACTGTCAACAGTACAGATGAGCACGAGAAATAAAATTAGATCAGAAACATATTTATAGAAGCACAAAGGAGGGTGTTGGTTTCTTAAGATTGTCATTCTTCTCGTTGTCTTTTGAAAATTAGGAGGAGTTTACCAGATACTACAGTCTAGGGGGGGGTGGGAGGGGAATAAAGGATAATGACCCGGACAAAAAAAAAAAAAAAAAAAAAAAAAAAAAAAAAAAAAAAAAAAAAAATAGAATCTAATAATAAAATAACCCCAAGCCCCCAGAAAATGCAGAGCCCCACAAGCAGCCCCGAAGCGCCGTGGCAGCGAGGTGAAGCCTCCCCACGAGCCCTACTTGCCGGGGGGTGCCGGAGTCCCGCAGCTGCAGATCCGCCCCGGGCAGACCTGAACGCCACCCAGCCTTGTCTCCTGCCTTCTGCGGCTTCCAGGCTCCCGGCTTCCAGGCAGCAGTGTCAACTCGGGAGTCAGGGCGTGAAGTTCGTGAGCGAAAATGGGCTTTTTTGGGTTTTTTTTTGGTTTTTTGCCCCCCCTTGACGGCTGCGCTGAGTGCCGGGGGTGTCCGCTGCCGGCTCCTGGCCGAGGTCTCTGCTGGGCCCTCCTGCCACGCTGCTCCCGGCGGGGCCGACCCCGCTCCGTTGGGTTGAGTTTATTGTTTTGTGAAGGAAAAACAGAACAAAAAACCCCAAAAAATACAAAAAAAACGAGAGCGATGAGACGTCATTATCCCGCCTAATTTCCAAAGCAAGGCCGTGCAAAGAGCTCAGGTGCGCGTCCCGTACATCCGGCGTGGCCGCGTCGGCGCAGGCGAGGAAGACCACGGTCCTCAGCATCTCTCCTGCTTCCCCAGGGGCTGCCAGGGATGGAGCGAGGAGCAGATCCGCCTCTGCCAGCACTCCGGAGGGGAGGCCCTGCTGCCCGCTGGGCTTGGCTCGGGGAGGGCACACGGGGGGTCGAACTGCACAAAAACCTGCCAGGGCTCCTGTCCTCCTCTCGCCTAGCCAGAGCACGGGAACAGGAGAGGGAATTCCAAGTTGATGGTTGGAAAGGAATAAAACGGTCATTTGGAGAAGCCTTCACGGCAGAAATTTGGTCTTTGGAGGTGTGGAGGGGGGGATTTTGCCTGGCACGTCTCTCCGTGCCTTGATCCACAGCAGGGATGTTGGTGAGGGTACCCAGAACGCCGGCACTGCTGAGCACCCACCACCCTGACCCCTCCTCAGGCCTCCACACACAGCCAGCTCCCAATTTTCACCCAACTTCTGAGGGATTTCCTCTCCTCCTCCAACCACTCCCTTCAGGCCGCCCTATTCATTTCACAATAATCATCAGGTTTTTTTTTTTTTTGTCTCCTTTTTCCAATTAGAAACTTTGTGATAAATGCTTGGTTGCAAAAAGTTTACCAAACCCCATAAATTTGCTTCTGGTTTGCCCTCATCCTGGAACGTTTTTATGCCATCTGCCTCGTTCCAGGGCTGAGCTGGCTGCTGACACCCGGCAGAGGGATCCAGGAGGGGGATAAAGCCCACCCTAACCCAGCTCCTCTCCCTTTGCTCTGTCGCAGGGTCGAGCCAAGCCCCAGGCAGCTCCCAGCTCCTCCACAGCCCCCCAAGGCTGGCCAGGCTCCAGGCAAAGGTGGCATCCGGGCAGGTTTTGTGCCAGTTTGGGACTGCAAGCCCAGGGCTGAGTGGGGCTGGGGTGGCCCTGCACAGGGTGACAGGGCAGCAGGCTGGATGGGGACCAGCATGAGCACCTGCAGGGAGAAAGCCCATCCCTGGTGGCTACGCCAGCCAGGAACGGCCCCTTCTCCTCCAAACCCTCCAGCCGTGAGCAGGCTGATGCATTTTGGGATCAGGGCACCGACACCCATCCCTGGAAACTGCCAGAGCAAGTGGCAACATGAGGAAATTCCCTGGTTTTTCCTTTTTCCTTTCACTGAAGCACTGCTCAGGGCTCAGGGAGATTTTCTGCACAGCTCACTGTTGCCTCCTGAGGCCTAGAAACCTTCAGGCAAAATCTCATTAGGATCATTACTTCAGCTGCATCTTTCAGTACAAAAATCATCCCTTCCCACTTTCCTGATTTAAAACTTTGGCCCATGTGCAATGAGAACACATTTCTAAAATGCTTTTATGGCCATTGTTAGCTAAAATCCACAACCTGCTCTCAAAACCAGCACTAACATCCCCTCTCCACAAACTGCTGTGCCCAGGTGGAGGTGAAGCCATCCTGGGGAACAGGAACTCCAGCGTTCCAATGACCCTGCTCAGGAACAGAGCAGTTCCCTGCTCTGGTAGCAAGGATGCTGTCTGCATCCACTTGTCGTGGATTAAGCTTTAAAAATCTGCCTCTTACTCCCCATGTAGGATGCAGGAGCCTCAAGCAGGCTGTGGACGTGGCTGCATCCTGCTCTGTATCAGATCTGGGCTCTCCGACCGCCCTCCGCCTTCAGGAAATCTGCTTTAGGAAAACTGCTGGAGGAAAACCCTTCTGCAGGAAAACCTGCTCCTACCAAAGCCCTTGAAGCTTCCAGAGAGCTGCCTCATGTCTGAAGTGCCCCTCCCTGCACCGGGGCCCACGGCAATGGCCAGGAAGGTGCATTTTGGGGTGCTCTGTGCCCCGCCTGCCCCCGAGCCCATCCCGCTCCGCCCTAGGGCTGCGGCCCCACGTCCCGGGGGTCCTGCCGGCCAGCGTGGCCCGCCTGCCCGCAGGGGAGCACCCCTGAGGGGCTGCTGGTTTTGGTGGGGACTCGGATATTCCCCTCCAGCCCCCCGTTCCCGCAGCCCCGGCCGCTCCCCGCCGTGTGTACTGCGTGCGTCGCCTGCTGCTGCGCTAGAACGAATGCCTACAAAATCCTAAAGCTATTTCTCAGGCAGTTTATGATAACTCCCCCCCCCAACCCCAGCCCATCCCCATCACCCGTTTTACCCCCCCTGCCCCTCCCAGCCCCTCCTGGAGCTCCCGGGGGTGGTGGGGACCCGTTATGTGACCCAGGTATCCAAGCGCATGCGCTTTACGGAGGGGCTCTCCCCCTCGGGCTCGCTGGTGGGTCGCAGGAGGCCCAGGGAGGAGCCGAAATCGGGGCGGGCGGGATCGTCCCGCTCGCTGCTGCCCTCGTAGGAGCTGGTGTTGCTGCTGAGGCTGTCGACGGGCGAGCGGCCGGTGGGCTCGTGCCGGGGCTGGTGGGGGAAGGTGCTGAGCGGGGTGGCAGTGTTCCTCTCCCGGTTGGGCGAGACAGGCTCGGACTTGATGCTGATGTTGGGGTTGGTGTTGACAGTCAAAGTGGTGGTGTGGGACAAGTGACTCCCTTGTCTGGGCAGCCGGAAGGTGGGGGGAAGAGGTTGGGACAGGAGGAGGAGGAGAAAGAGGAGAGCAGAAGGGGAGGAAGGGGGAGAAAAAGATGGAGGAGGAGATAATGGGAAATCTCTCATTATTATCTTTTTGGTGGCCTTCTGCTCTCCAGTGCACAGAATTCAGAACTTTCACACGCTACAGCTGAATGAACCCATGATTATCAACCTGTATTGGATTATTAATCTGGATTCATAAACAGAATTATGACTTCAGAATCACGTGCAGTCACCAGGATGCATCAGCACAGAGCTGGGACCAGAGCCTGTGGGCAGCATCCCTCCTCCCCCAGCACCCCATGATCCAGCCCCAGTCCCACCCACTGTCCCTCAGCAGTGGCCCAAAGGCATGGGTGTGCCTACAGCTCTGCCCCTGCGTCCCTGTGAGCTGCACAGACCCAGCACACGGCTCAGCCAGGTGGTTTTGCTCAAAACTGGGAACCTCAACCTCTGCAACACAAAATTTTGTCCAGGCGTTCCACACATCCCACGGCCCCACTGGTGCAGGAGGCCCAGGCAGCTACTGAGGAAGCTGCTGCCTGTCCTGCCTGGAAAACATGCACCAGGCAGTGAGGAAACACTGAACTCCTACACAAAAACCTGGTCCATCCGTCCATCCACCCCTCCATCCATTCCTCCACTCATCCACCTATCCCACCCCTCCCTCTGTCCATCCTTCCAGTCCTCTATTCATCCACCCTTCATCTCACCATGCATCTCTCCCTCCCTCCATCCATCCATCCATCCACCCATCCATCCATCCATCCACCCATCCATCCATCCATCCATCCATCCATCCACCCATCCCTCCATGGTGGAAATGTCTTTGACTCTGGCTGGGGCAGTCACTGATCCCCCTCCTCAGCTTCTGCCTCTCTTTGTCCCGTGGTCTCAATGTGATCACAGGCGAGTGGCTTAAATCTTAATGTTGACTGTCATTCTGTGTATGGGTGCTTTATTCCAGAGTAAAAGCAGATCCCAAATCCTGCTCTAAGATGGAAGTGCCTGCGTTTTCTGCCCCGGAGAAAAGCAATCTCTTTGCAATACCAAAAGCCACCTTCTTCCACACCAGCAGGGCACAATTCCAGGCACCTTATCCTGCATTGTCCATCCCATCTAACACAGCCTCTGGCCCATTCTCAGCTCCCCCAGGTGAGTGCAGGATCGGTGCCACTGTGGACAGGCAGCAGCACGAGGCTCTCAGAGCATCCCCAGGTACCCTGACCTCAGCCAGGGGCTCTGGGGGACCCTCACAGTGACAGGGACAGGACTCCCCACACCACACAAGCCAGCTGTGCACGGGCACGCAGCTCCTGCCCCCAGGAAGGCAGCCTGGGCAGGCTGGAGCCCCCAGGGAGCAGTCCCAGCTGAGGCTCTGCAGGGTGGCACCCCAGAGGGACTCCCCATTTCCCTCTGGTGTCACTTACATTAAGTTTCCTAGTGACACCGGGACCAGGTGCTGCTGCTGCGGCTGCTGCGGCGGCTGCTGCTGCTGCTGCTGCTGTTGTTGCTGCTGCTGCTGCTGCTGCTGCTGCTGCTGCTGCTGCTGCTGCTGCTGCTGCTGCTGCTGCTGCTGCCAGGCAGAGATGTTACCAAGGGACAGCCCTCCAGGCGAGCTGAAGGCGGGCAGCGAGGACAGCTCAGCGCTCGTCAGCTGATAATCTGCAAGGGAAGGAGCCCTGCAGTCACTTGCATGCCAAAGCTGCCCCCACAGTGCCCCGAGCACTGGGGGAGGATGGAGACACACAAGAGACACAGATGCACAACTTGCAGCTTGTGCTGCACGTGGCACGGGGATGCTGGCCGGAGGACACAGCTCGTGTGTGTGGATGGCTTGATGGAGTCATGGAATCAGTTAGGCTGGAAAGACCTCTGAGATCCAGTCCAACCTGTGACCAAACACTACATCAGTGAAGGGACATTTAAAGGCCATCTAGTTCAACATGCAGGGACACTTTCCACTATCCCAGGCTGCTCCAAGCCCTGTTCAACCTGGCCTTGGACACTTCCAGGAATGGGGCAGCCACAGCTGCTCTGGGCAACTTCTGCCAGCACCTCACCACCCTCAGCATGAACAATTTCCTCCTTTTATCCAGTTGTGTCCCACCCTTAGGGCATGAGCTGCTGGCAGGACCTCCACCCTCCACAACACCCAGCAGTGCCCCTGCCCCCAGGCACAGCAGTGGCCAGGGCAGCCCCACGATGGAGCCGTGTTGAACATGTCAGACCCCCAGAGCCCCCTCCAGCCAAATGTAGGGGGCCAGACACCCCTCCTCCCCTCCTGGAGCAGCAAACCCTGGCAGCTGGCACCCACCTGTGCCTGGGGCACCCTCATCTGTACCTGGGGCACCCTCACCTGTGCCTGGGGCACCCTCATCTGTGCCTGGGGCACCCTCACCTGTGCTTGGGCACCCTCACCTGTGCCTGGGGCACCCTCACTTGTGCCTGGGGCACCCTCACCTGTGCCTGGGGCACCCTCACCTGTACCTGGGGCACCCTCACCTGTGCTTGGGACACCCTCACCTGTGCCTGGGGCACCCTTACCTGTGCCTGGGGCACCCTCACCTGTACTTGTGGCACCCCCACCTGTCCCTGGGGTGTACCTGGGACAGCCCCACGCACGCCGTGTCCCGGGTGGCAGCAGGGGGCGCTCCCTGCCCGCCGTGGGGACACGGAGCTGTCACCATGACCCCCCGATCCAGGGCACCCCACACCCCGGACCCCCTCCTCCACACTGTTCCCACCCACCAGGGCACCCCACACCCCGGGACCCTCTCCCCCAACTCTTGCCTTTCCCATGCAGAACCCACTGAAAATCCCAGTGGGGCACCTCATACCAGGTGAGGATTTTACAAAAGGTTGTGCTGGTGGAGAAAAGCCAGGGAGGAAAGTGCTGCTCCTTCAGGAGATGGTCAAAGCTGGGTCAGCCATGTCAGCCTGACACAGACACCCAGCAAAGCCTCCTCACACCCTCTCCTCCCCCTTCCAGCTCTAATTTTGGGTGCCTTGTGGTTTCGGCTGTCCCCACCCCAGCAGCACACACAGAGGTGGCTGTGCTGGGGCTGAACTGCTGCCAGATCCCCGGCACACCCCACCCAACATCCTGGCACCGGCTTCCCTGCTCCACAGCATCCTCCACCCCCTCTGCTCTGCTCTGGGAGCTCCTGACACTCACTGGTGACACTGGCCGCCCCTGCAGCCCCCAGCAGGGCTTGAGCTGGAGCCTCCCCAGACCAGAGCTGGGAATGGGCAGGTCTGACAGCCCAGCACGGGAAAGGGCACGTAACTCTGGCCAGGGGGCAGCTCAGCACAACTGCACAGCCCGAGACCCAGGCAGTGCCCCCCCAACTAACAGCGAGTCCTGAGAGGAACAAGTGGCAGCGCTCCGGGCTGGGAGTTTGCTCAGGGCACCCCTGCACCACCCACCAATGATCACCTCTGCAGCACCACAGAATCACTGAGTTATTTAGGCTGGAAAGGCTCTCCAACACCACCCAATCGCTCCCCCAGCACTGCCAAGGCCACCACTAACCCATGTCCCCAAGTGTCACAGTCACATGTCCGTTAAGCCCCTCCAGGCATGGTGACACCACCACTGCCCCAGGCAGGCTGTTCCAAAGCCTGAACACCTTTTCCACACAGAAATTTTCCCTAATATCCCACCTAAAGCTCCCCTGGCACAACCTGGGGCCGTTTCTTCTTGTCCTGCCCTTTTGTTCCCTGGGAGCAGAGCCCAACTCCCCCTGGCTGTCCCCTCCTCTCAGGGAGTTGTGGAGTGACAAAGCCCCCCCCGAGCCTCCTTTTCTCCAGGCTGAGCCACCTCAGCTCCTTGTGCTCCAGACCCTTCACAAATCAAGACAATTCCTATCCAATTAACAGGGCAGCTCTGGCAGAACTGCCAGGTTCAGAGTTTGCACCCTACAGCGGTGCCCCTGAGGCTCAGCCCCACAGCAAACACCTGGGCAGGAACACCCATGGTCAGCTGTGAGGAAAAATAACTACAGAGAGCTGAAATTCAGGCCCCTCTGCTCTGAGCAGAGGCACAGGGCTCAATTAAAACCTATTTTGGGGAGTCTGGCTGTGCCCAGCCTGGCTGGCAAACCGCATGGTCACGCAGGGAGAGGAGCCTCATCACGCACAACCGGCAGCTTTGGGACTACACCTACTAATTAGGAGAGGGAGTATCCAACGTGCCAGTTCTGGGTTCTTCCAGACAAGCAGCTTTTTTACATTTTTGCAAACTTTTCTCTGAGCCAGAACAAGTTACACAGGCAACCAGCAAGCCCTCAAAGTCTTGGTGGAGGTCTGACAGGTGGGAGATGAACAACCCTTCTGCTTGGGCGAGTGCACTGTCACTATTGCCTCAGGCTGATTTCAATCCACCAGCCCAAATCAGATGTGTCTATGAGCAGGTTGGTTTGCATTCTTCCCAAACTTTTGGAGGGGCCTACGCTTGTTGTCATTATTACAACACCCCCTGAGCTCTGAGAGCCCGGGGATGGGTGCAGCTGTAATTAGCATCCACTTGCACGGTGCAAAGGGCTACACCAGCCCTCACGGCCCTCCTGGCTATGACAATGAGCTCTCACCACTTCCATAATGAGGCTCCCCCTGATTTTAGTCCTGTGGAACTCTTGCACTCAACCACATCTTGCAGTGGAGAGTTCCCCGAGCACCACTGCAGCTACTCAGGAGCACC